ACACCCAGAGAAAAACCTCGATCTATATAATAAATTCATTGTTCAATTTGATAAATATATCATTACTATTGAATCAATGATATATTTATCAATATGATATTTTTTTTTCTTGTCTTGAACAATAATTATTTATAAGAATAGTTATTTTGTTCGTATTAATAAAACATTATCATAAACCCTTGATAAAATTTCTCTTTCAATTTTGATTGAGGTTTTTCTTTGGGTGTATATTTATTCATATTTCGAATAATTTTTCGTTTCTCTCGATAAATAATAATAATTGAATATTCTTATCATACGAGCAGACGATTTTAACTTCGAGTGATTTTTCGAGAGATTCACTCGATTATAAAAATGTCTCGATTACTAATCATTCGATTATGCCCATCACTAATATTTAGACGATTGTTTTCCGTCAAAAATTTTAATTTTATCATATCTTACACTATTTGTCAATTGGTTGAAATTGGCGCTACCTGTAAAACTCGCAATATATTAACAGCTATTTCCGAAGTGATAAATCGTATTTCAAGATGCAGTGCTATATAGTGTACTTGTCTATGATGCAGTGTAAAGAATGTCAGCCCCTGATTGACCCATTCTCTCTATGATTATGATCCAGTCGATTATATTTTACTTCACGGTGAAAAAGTAGATTAAATGTACTCTGAATAGAAAATATGTTATGTATTCTGTAGTTCATCTACGGTTCATAAATATTAAAAATATTATTAATAAAGCTATCGTTAAACAGACCGTAAGTTTATCCACAGCTACATAGACCGTAGGTTTATTCAGAAAAAATAAATTGTTTTTAATATATACCATAACTGCTATTAACAATAAAAATAAGCAATTGGCTGTTTTCAATTATAATTTAAATCCATAATAGAACAGAGATGTTCATATGAATTATAATATAATCCTTATATAAATAAAGGTGGATTTAATAACCAAAAAGAGCAAAAACAATCTTTTAATTTATTTATTTCAAACTTCATAGATTGAAATAAATTATTTAATCTTGGTACTAAATCTAATATTTTAGTTTAATAGCGTAGAGTTCTGATAGATTGATTCTAAAATTTTACACAAAAAGTTAGATTAAGTCGGACTGAACCCGTAAAAAAAATTTGAGGTTTCATTAGTTTTATTAATTTGTATCGTACCTAAAATTATACATATATATATTTGGATCCAATCGAATCGGACCACATTTTTAAGGCTCGTACTGATATTTGTTGTAAAAATATTTTCACTACAATAACAAATAAGATAAAATAACAAATGTATTATTAAATGTAACTGTATGTAAATGTATAAATGTAACTATTATAGTGGTCTACATAAATTATTATCTACGAGTATTTTAAGTCTGTTATCATCACAGTAAAGGATTCAGTATATTGAACGCGTTTCGTTAAAAGTTTTTTGATACCATTATCGTTATATTTCAGTTACAAATAAAATTTAATATTAAATATAAATATTCAAACTTACAGTCAATAATGTAAATTATTTTTAAGTTAATTCGAAATTATTTAGACCGTATGTAATTTTTATCTGTATAAATAAAGACTTCAAATCAATAACGTACTGTGTACAAAATAATATATAAATTAAGTCAGTTCTAGAAAAATGTTTCTAGTACTATACCCAATTAAAACGAGTAAATGCTATAAGAAAGTGAAGGTAACAAATGAAGGGTAGATGTACTATTTTTTTAAATAAATTGAAATGTAAATTATATTTTCATAAGTAGTAAAAGTTATTTTATTTTAAGAGTTTTACATTTTTGTATACAATTTTCTTTGAATTACTAAAAATAAATTTTTTTGGTACATAACATGTTATTGATTTTAAGTCTTCAAATATAAAAAAAATATACTGATTAACTTATAGTTAAATATACACTTTGGTTAATATGAAACTATTATATTATATTTGTTATAATGAAGTTAACAATCAAAATAAATTTTTACAAATTTATTATTTTAAACAATTCTAGAGTATCTATTTTTGTTGATAATTATTATTATAATTATATAATATTATATTTATTTTTTTTATATAGAAAATATTAAGCAACTTATGGTATATGAAGTTGAATGATTATGTGTATAATGTTTTACTGATTTAACCAAAAATATGGATCTCTCATTATCTAATACAACTTCAAAAATGTATGTATTTATTTAAAATTATTGTATTTTATTACATACATGTATGTGCATAATAGAAACCAATAAATAATTTTAAAAGAAATACTCTATTTTAAATCATTCTTTAAGTATTAAATAATAAAGAATAAATAATTTATACAGTGATAAATGCAAGAATAAATAATAATGAGTACAGATATTGATTTAAGTGTTCATCCTTTGACTCAAGATCCAACCAAAGCATGGGAAAAATTTAAACAAACACAAAAAAGCATAAAAATTCAACCTCCCATACCTAAAGGCCCTGTTGCTGATGACAAAGTTAGTATTGTTAAGTAAATTTTTAACCAATATTTCTTAGCTGCATGACCACAAAAATAAGAAACTATAAATAGATAGTTTTAAAGAAAATAAGATGTAGCACAGTGAGGTCGCAGCACAGTGTGAATGTGGCATAGTAAGACCAAGTATAGATTATACCTAACTTGTTTCTTCTATCAAAGAAACACTTCGATGTAAATCTATAGAAAATGCTTAATTTTAAGAAGTTGGTAGATTTTTCCAAAAGCAAAATGAACTATTTTATCCTTTATTATTCCTAATTAGTAGTTATATGATTTATAAATGTAATACATAAATAAATATCTAATAAATTTGTTTAACTTTGATGGCTATTTGTACATAGAAAATAAGACATCGAGATAGATTTTTTCAACTATAGTACATAAGCTTTAATTTAACATATGTTTAAAAGACACAGTATTTCCAGGACATTTTCAAAAGTTGACTTTTGTGTAATAGTTGCTATTTTGAATTCCCCCTTGTGGGCAGATAATAGTCAGGATTCCAAAAAATTTATATATAAAAAAAAGGAATTAAGCAAGGTTTCTATATAAAAAAAATTATTTTGATTTGTTCATTTTTGAAAAAGTTATGGCAGTTTTAAAAGAAAAAAAAACCCAGCACAGGGGGTCGTGGCACAATGGTGACGTGGCATAGTTGGGGCAAGTATAATATTTGACAATAATTAAAATCACTATCATAAAAGAAGCTTCGATGCAAATCTTTAGATAGTGTTTAATTTAAAAAAATTGGTGGATTATTACAAAAGCTACATGATCTACTATTTCCTTATATATATGCTGATTAAGATAAAGTATGTCGAATGACAGAGGAATATAAATATTATTTTTTATAAAAAAATTGTATTGATCCATACATTTTTTAAAAAGTTATAGCATTTTAAAGTAAAAAATGTAAAATATAAAATCGAGAATTTTCACACAAAAATAGCATTTAGTAACTATTTTCATTGTGAAGAAAAAATAAAGTCCGACATTTTTTTTATGCCATGATAAAGTATATTACATTACCTTTAATTTAAGATATATATAAAAGTGTCAGACTTTCAAAAGTTAAGTTGAAAAAATTAATTTTTTGTGAAAAAGTTGTCATTTTAAATCCCCCCCTGTGGGCAGGTAAAGGATCAAATTTATAAAAATAAATTATATTGATTTGGTTATTTTTAAAAAAGTTATGGCAGTTTTAAGTAAAATAAATTGAAAAAATGTCAAAAATTTGCGATTTTTAAATTTGTAATTTTTTTGGAGGTTTCCCCCATTTACGGGGAACGAGGGAATTTTTTTCAATTTTTGAGGGTAATGTCTTTGATTATAACGATTTGTGATATTTTGACGTATCATTGAAAGAAATCGGTTCGGTGAGAACTGAGATAAAGTTGTAAGAGACACAAAAAACAACACATCATAGTAAAACCAATACCTTCTCAGCTTCGTATCAAAGTAAAAATGGAAAAAATTTTAATATTTATCAATTTTAAAAATTGTAATTTTTTTGAAGTTTTTCGTCAATTACAGGGAACATGGAAAATTTTTTCAATATTTAAGGGCAATGTTTTAAACTAGATTTAATTTGTAAATTTTTGATGAATTCTTGAAAGAAATCAGTTTGGTAAGACCCAAAAAAAAGTAGATGGACATAAAAAAAAAAGCCGTAAATTTATTACTTTCTCAGATTTTCATCAAAGCTAAAAAACCTTAATTGAAATAGTATAGTTAGAATTTTTTAAAACTAGAAAATTTACTTTAAATAGTTATGATATTATTTTTGTTTTTATATTAATGTAGCAATCAGAATAAATTCATTTTATCATATATTATTATATCCAAAATAATTGTTTTCTTAAATAGAAAACTAAAATGTTATAGATGATTTAAGGTAATTTTAGAATTTGTAACTAATAGAGGGATATTTTAAAAAGAGTGCATTTTTTCTAACTATTTTTTCTAAACTGATTGCCAATTTAAAGTATTATGTTATTATCAATGTTCTTATTATTTTAAGTATTTACTAATACTTTGATTTATTTATAAGTAGTTATATTTTCGAAATTTATTAAATTGTGATACAGTTATTCACAAACAATATATATATGTTTTTAATGTGAAAATATGCTATTAAATAGATAAAAACCAGTCTTTGCATTGGTATAATCACATGTTAAAACCTTATTAAATTTATTTAAAGCAAATTTTATATATTTAGCTTAAGGTATCACTTAACCATTTATGGATAATTCTTTTAATTGTTTTATAATTTTTTAGGTAAGAATTGTTTGTATGAGTGATACCCATTCAAAAATATCCTTAATGAAATTTGATGTACCATTAGGCGATATATTCATTCATGCTGGTGATTTTACTAGCTGTGGAGGTTTGGAAGAGGTTATAGATTTTAATAATTGGCTTGGAACATTGCCGCATAAATATAAAATAGTCATTGCTGGAAATCATGAGCTTAGTTTTGACCCAACATTTACTCAACATACAAATATAAATGATATTCCAACATTAGGTTTTGAACAAGATTTAATAAAAAATGCTGTCCAACAGAAGAATATTAAAAATTATTTAACAAATTGTATCTATCTGGAAGATTCTATGACTGAATGTTTTGGTTTGAAAATTTATGGTTCACCTTGGTAAGATTAATTTTTTGTACTAATAAAGTTAAAACAGTATAAATTAATTATTTTAATTATTAACAATATATTGTTCTATTACAAAATAATTGAAACATAAATCTGTAACATAATTAATTATTTATTATATATATATATATTATAAGTATATTTATTAATAATAAACATACTTATACGGTTATCACTGCTTTTAAGTTAAAGATTTAATTGTAATTTTTTTGTTCAAAATATTATTATAATTCAGGCAACCAGAATATGGAGGTTGGGCATTCAATATACCCCGTGGTCAATCTTGTTTAGACAAATGGAATCTTATTCCTGCAGGAATTGATGTTTTAGTAACACATTCACCACCACTAGGACATGGTGATGATTGTTGTTCTGGAGTAAGAGCTGGTTGTGTTGAACTTTTGTTATCTGTTCAAAATCGAATAAAACCAAAATATCATGTTTTTGGACATGTTCATGAAGGTAAATATAACAATAAATAACTTTAAAAAAACCTTTGTTAAAGATAGAAATTTTGTATTGAAATCCTACATTTTAAATGAAATGCTAATCAAAGATATGTTTAGAAGTATTCTTTTACAGATATTAGAAGATGCAGCAACCTATTTTAATTTTTAAACGTCCACTTGACATGATCAAATCAAAATGTCTTTATAATTTATTTTAAAATCTAAATTAACTATTCTGAATCATGTTATAGCAGAAGCTCATGGAGCATTAGCCACATGGCTAGGTGTCACCTCTAGTTCTAAAATATTAATTTTAATTAAGATTATTCACTCACAAGATTTTTGTAAATTAAATGAAGTATTTTTCTTTAGTATGGGCAACTGCATTTCCAAATTTATGCAATGTTATTTTAAATTCTGTTGTTTAAGCGTTTCTTTTTTTTTGTACAGGTTATGGAATAACTACTGATGGAAAAATAATCTATATAAATGCATCTAGCTGTGATCTACGTTATTTACCAGTAAATCATCCAATTGTTTTTGATATAGCATTGCCTAAAGGACAAGAGAAAAAATAAAAAAATAATATTATACATACTTTTTATTTTGAAATATATCATTCTTTTAAAGCATTATGATTTTGATTTCTGAATTTTTTAATTTTTTAAAACATTTTTATTGAATATGTTCATTGTTTACAATTAAAAACTTCAATATCATCTATAGCATTATCTACAGTTGTTATAAAATTAATACCTCTCCTGTATTTGAGTTAAATATTTAAACTGATTCTTAATTAAAATTAGAGGGATTTTATTTCTAATTCAATTTATTTATTTTAGCTTCGATGCGATGTTTTACTAAGATGTGTTTTTTTTTTTGTGTCTGTTACCACTTTTTTTCAGCTCTCACCGAACCGATTTCTTTCAATGATACGTCAAAAGATCACAAATCGTATCTAGTCGAAGACATTACCCTCAAAAATTGAAAAAAATTTCCCTCGTTCCCCGTAAATAGGGGAAACCTTCAAAAAAATTACGAATTTAAAAATCGCTAATTTTCGAAATTTTTACAATTTTTTTACTTAAAATTGCCATAACTTTTTTAAAAATAACCAAATCAATATAATTTTTTTATATAGATGCATGATATCATTACCTTTCATTTGGTATATTTTTTTTTTATATGTGACCCTTTACTTGCCTACAGGGGGGGATTTAAAATGACAACTTTTTCACAAAAAATTTACTTTTTCAACTATAAATAGCATTTGGTAGCCATTTTCACTGTGAAGACAAAATAAAGTCCAACATTTTTTTTTTTATAATAAAGTATATTACATTACCTTTAATTTAAGATATATATAAAAGTGTCAGTATTTCCAGAACACTTTCAAAAGTTAAGTTGAAAAAGTTCTACTTTCATATATGCATTTTTCAGATTTGAACCCCCCCCCGTATATAAGGAAATAGTCTGATTTAAAAAAAAAATTTGTCCAATGAAAGATGTATATAAACACTACTTCTCATGAAAAAATTGTATTGATCTATACATTTTTCAAAAAGTTATAGCATAATAAAGTTAAAAATGTAACATACAAAATCGAAAATTTTCACACAAAAATAGCATTTGGTAGCCATTTTCACCGTGAAGATAAAATAAAGTCCGAAATTTATTTTTTCCGTAATAAAGTACACTACATTAGCTTTAATTTAATATATATATAAAAGTGTCAGACTTTCCGGAACATTTTCAAAAGTCAAGTTGAAAAAATTAATTTTTTATGAAAAAGTTGTCATTTTAAATCCCTCCCTGTGGGCAGGTAAAGGATCAAATTTATAAAAATAAATTATATTGATTTGTTCTTTTTTGAAAAAGTTATAGCAGTTTTAAGTAAAAAAAATTTCAAAAATTAGGGATTTTTAAATTTGTAATTTTTTTGGAGGTTATGTATTATTGAGATAAGGCCATTTAAGTGAAGTATTTTACTAACCACATGTTCATATACTCATTAAAACTTGTATCTAACTTAAAATTTGATTAAACTTTAGCTAACGTATTAGGTAAAATTATAATTCAATGATTAAACGATCAAAGTATTATTTTATCAGTGTAAAAAATCATCTTATACTCATATGAATTCATAATATCTAAATCTCGCTTACGTAATACATATAATTTTTTTTACATTTTAGATTAAAACTTATAAATAATGACATCAGTTAATAAATTGTTAACTGGTAATAATTATATAATCTGTAAAAAATAAATGCTTATAGAATCTGTTCTGTCAATAAATTAAGTAATCAATCGCTCTCAAGATTACACGTGACTCTTTAGTATAACTTTGAAATTAATTTCTAATATGCCAACTATAAATAAAATGATAATAGTTGAACCAAAACAAAATGGAAATCTTAAAAGGTGTGCATTTATTATTAAGTTATAGAGATGTTTCGCGTTTTAAATAAACTCTATTAATATATATATATATACAAGAGTTCAGTAAGTAATAGGTCGGTTGTTAGAAACAATAAGAACAATAGAGACTCGTTTCCTTACTTACTGAATACTCTTTATCTCTCTCTATATATATATATTATAATATAGTTTTAATATATAATAGTAATTTAAAAAATACATTTTTGACAATTTCATTATTTAAGATCTTATTGGAGTCTAATTTTAGAATGGTTCTCAGCCTTAGAAATACGAAACACCTTAAATTTGAAACATTGAAAGTTTTCAATTACATACGTTTTTATTAGTACTTAGCTTATATTTATTTGCTAGAAACATCTCTACTAAAAACTAGTTATATATATAACTATAGATTGGGAAATGAAATATAATAAATTTAAAATAATATATTTTTCAAGTAATGCGGTCGTTGCTTATAACATCGTTTATACTTCTGCAATTTATGGCAAAAATAGAATCAATGGAAAATTTCCTGAACAATTTATTGATGAAGTCCATCTAGCATTTAAAAATCTCTCTTATACTTTAGAAACTGCTGGAGCATCTTGTGAATCAGGTATCAAATTTTTTTATTTTATTAAAAATTGAAAATATTTTCAATGTTTCTTATAATAAAAAAGATCTTTACTATGAAATAAAATAAAATAAATATAGTCTTCATATATATGACTGTAATCCTTAGGTTCCATAAGATTTTTCTAAATACATTTCATACTTTCGCATACTATCATTGATGTTATTATAAATTGAAAGACGTTAAGTAAAAGTTTTTATTTTTTTGCAGTTATTAAAGTTGTTATTTACATTAAAACTTACAGTGTAGCTAGAATGATCAATGATGTATTCTCAAAATATTTTTCTATTCCATATTGTGCAAGATTACAAATGCAAGTTGATCAATTACCAGAAGTATAGATCTTATTTAATATATTAATAATAAAAAAAGTTTATAGTATCATTTTTTTTAAAGGGAGCTGGAATTTCAGTTGAAGCCATTGCAGCAGTCCTTCCAATCAATAAGATAAAAATCGAAAAGTAAAACTAAAATTATATTATCATTATATTAAAAATTTTTAAAATACTAAAAAAAAAGATAAACAAATCTATTTGAATAATAATATTTATATTTCTGTAAATTTTAGAAAACCTATGTTGTAAAAATATTAATAAAGAATAAAATTATGTTATTTTTCAAGTTAATTTTATACTTATATGATAATTTTATTATGCTCATTTCATGTTACACAGCGACATATGATACAACCAATATATTAGGTATGTGTTTGGCAGAACTTAAAATTTATTAAGTTATTGTAATTTTAATGTGGAAGTTTTTTCTCAATTTCCCAGACTTCTGTTAATTAGCTAACTCTATGAATTTCATTTTATATCTTAAAAATTACCAAAAATTAGCGTAATTTGGTTTGTAAAATTATTTTTTGATATTTTTCTGTTCATAATTTCTCTTCTTAAATCGACACAAATATTTTTTGGAGTAAATTGTGCCGTTGGCCTCACGTCCTTTTGTTTCAATGAACATTACACATTAAATTTGAAACAAACTTTGTTCCACAAATTTGTTGGTACAAAAGTTACCCACTCTTTATTAGCTTCGATGCGAAGCTAAGAAGGTATTGGTTTTACTATGATGTGTTGTTTTTTGTGTCTCTTACAACTTTATCTCAGTTCTCACCGAACCGATTTCTTTCAATGATACGTCAAAATATCACAAATCGTTATAATCAAAGACATTACCCTCAAAAATTGAAAAAAATTCCCTCGTTCCCCGTAAATGGGGGAAACCTCCAAAAAAATTACAAATTTAAAAATCGCAAATTTTTGACATTTTTTCAATTTATTTTACTTAAAACTGCCATAACTTTTTTAAAAATAACCAAATCAATATAATTTATTTTTATAAATTTGATCCTTTACCTGCCCACAGGGGGGGATTTAAAATGACAACTTTTTCACAAAAAATTAATTTTTTCAACTTAACTTTTGAAAGTCTGACACTTTTATATATATCTTAAATTAAAGGTAAATTACAAATTTAAAAATCGCTAATTTTCGAAATTTTTTCAATTTTTTTTACTTAAAATTGCCATAACTTTTTTAAAAATAACCGAATCAATATAATTCTTTTTTTATATAGATGCATGATATCATTACCTTTCATTTGGTATATTTTTTTTTATATCTGACCCTTTACCTGCCCACAGGGAGGGATTTAAAATGACAACTTTTTCACAAAAAATTAATTTTTTCAACTTGACTTTTGAAAATGTTCCGGAAAGTCTGACACTTTTATATATATATTAAATTAAAGCTAATGTAGTGTACTATATTATGGAAAAAATAAATTTCGGACTTTATTTTATCTTCACGGTGAAAATGGCTACCGAATGCTATTTTTGTGTGAAAATTTTCGATTTTATTTTTTTAATTTTTAACTCTATAATGCTATAACTTATTGAATAGTGTATGGATCAACATAATTTTTTTATTTTTTTAATAATCCCTTTTTCATTCGACATACTTTATCTTAATTAAGATATTAATAAGAAAATAGGAAATTATATAGCTTTTGGAATAATCCACCAATTTTTTAAAATTAAACACTATCTAAAAATTTGCATCGAAGCGTTTTTTTTTTATAGTGATTTTAATCACTGACAGATATCATTATACTTAATCCAATTATGCCACGTCACCACTGTGCTGAGACACCCCTGTGCTGGTTTTTATAATAGAAGACTTAATCTGAAAAATATAAATAGGGTAAATGTATAACCTATGTACCTGATTACATTTGAGTTCATGTTTATGTCTTATTCTTCCTCGCTTTAATCCCAACTACTTGGGGTCGGCCACCCTTGTCCTAAACTTCCCCACTTGACATGATCTCCCACACAAGCTGTCCTCATATTGCATTCAATATCATCCTTCCGTGTCTTTTTTTGGTCTTCCTCTACCTATTCTTCCTTCAACATTTATTCCTATAACTGTTTTTACAGCTTCCGATTATTCTCTCCTCATAACATGACCAAACCATCTATATCTATTTTCTCTCATCTTATCCACGATTGACGCTACACCTATACACCCTCTTATATGCTCGTTTCTTATTCTATCTTTTCAAGTTACTCCACTCATCCATCTAAGCATTCTCATCTCTGCTACACTCATACTCTGCTCTACTTTCTTATCAACCGCCCAACACTCTGAACCATACATCATAGCTGGCCTCACTACAGTCTTGTAGAATTTACCTTTCAGCCTCATTGGAATTCTTTTATCGTATAAGACGCCAGATGCTTCTCTCCACTTCAACCACCCGCACTTAATTCTGTGTCTTACATCCTAATCAATACCACCACTCTTTTGCACAACTGACCCTAAATACTTAAAACTTTCCACCTCTCCAATCACTTCTTCGCCTATTGTCACTGATCTCCTCATTTCACCTACCTTGTGTTTTCCTTTGTCACACTCGTATTCTATATACTCTGTCTTACTTCTACTTATTCTTCAACCCATTTCTTTAAAAACTGATCTCCACACCTTTAGCCTTTGATTAATTTCCTTCTATTAACACTATATCGTCAGCAAACAACATACACCGCGGCAACTCTCCTTGTATTTCTCTAGTAATTTTATCCATCACTATAGAGAATAGGTAAGGGCTTAAAGCAGAACCTTGGTGCACTCCTACTCTTACCCGAAAACTTTCCGATACTCCTCCTACGCTTTTTACCCGGGTACAAGTGCCATCATACATATCTTCTATTATATTAATGTACCTTTCCGGGACTCCTTTTATCATTAATGCCCAATTTAAAACCTCTCTCGGCACTCTATCATACACTTTCTCCAAATATATAAATACCATACACACCTTTTTCTGCTTTTCCCTAAACTGTTTTATTAGTTGCCTCACACAAAATACTAGCTCCATTGTTGACTTACTAGGCATTAATACAAACTAGTTTTTAGATACCGATGTCTCATTTCTTATTCCCTTATCTATTACTTTTCACCGAATTTTCATACTATGACTCATAAGCTTTATGCCTCTATAATTTCCATACTTCTGTATGTCACTTTTACTTTTAAATATCGGCACCACAATACTATTCCTCCATTAATTTTGAATTTTCCCTACTAATAAGATTTTATTTAAAAGTTCCTTTAACCACCTTATACCAACACCGCCTAATATTTTCTATACTTCTACTGGCACTTCATCTAGTCCTACTGTTTATTTTATTTTTATTGATGCCACAGCCTCCCATACTTCTTTCTCATTAATTAAATCTACCAGTCCCTCATTCTACGAGATATTCTTTAATGTCTCTTTTGGGTACTCCTCATTCTGTAATTTTTCAAAATACTCCTTTTACCTTTTTTTTTTCACATCATCATCACTCGAGAATACTTTATTATTAACACTTTTTATACACCTTATATAATGATAATCTTTAGACCTTCTCTCTCTTACTTTTGCAAGTCTATAGATTTCTTTCTCACCTTCCTTGTTCCTAGCCTATCATATAACTCATCATACCTCTTAAACTTCGCCTTACTTACTGCACACTTGGCTTCTTTGCACAAGCGTTTATACTCCATCCAATCTTATCTCCTTTTGCTCTTCTGACATACTTTGAATTGCTTTTTCTTACTTCCTATGATTTTTTGAACGTCCTCATCCTACCACCAGGTTTCCTTGTTTCCTGGCATTCTACTCCTACTCTCACCAACAATCTCCTTTGCAGTATTCTTTACACAACTAGCAAATAATACATAATTTATGTTTTCCTCCACATTCCACACTGTCCTCTCTTTTACCGTCTTTACAAACTCTTTCTCATTTTCCCCTTTCAATTTCCACCATCGGATCTTCGATTTGAAGATCTTCAATCTTTCAAATTTTGTTCCACAAATTTGTTGGTACAAAAGTTACCCACTCTTTATTATAATAGAAGACTTAATCTGAAAAATATAAATAGGGTAAATGTATTACCCAAGTACCTGATTGCATTTGAGTTCATGTTTACGTGTGAGCTGTTTTTTTTTATAAGTAATATAAAATATGGATGAAACGCTTACCTACCAAAGGGTATTAGTCATTTTAGATTAAATGTGAAATTGTAAAAAAAAAAAAACTATGGGTGCTAAATACTTAGTGACATCCACTTCTATGGACCAATTTAAAAATCCACCACTTTCTCCTACAAGGCATTTGCATAAAGACTTACTTAAGTAATCTTTACAAATTTTTCTATAGAAAATAATAAAAAGCTTGTACAACATTTTCTTCTACCCCGTATAAAATTTATTGGCTTTGTACCTACTAGTAAATAAATCAAGATAATCATCTATTGTAATGGTGTAACTATTTCATAATGAGGGGGCTATAGCAAACAAAAATCTTTAAAAATTCATATTCTGGATCTTTATTTTATTTTATAAATGAAAAATTATTGTTTAAATGTACTTCATTGAATTGAAAGCTAATTATTCAATAGATCAACACTTAAAAGTTTAACTTTAATGTAAATTTACAAATTAGAACAGAATTCAGTCCTTATATAGGGACTAAATTTTTGATTATAATATAAACAGTTGTCATGGAATGATTTCCATCTTAAATCTACTAATATCATTGTGTCTTCATCTCGATGCTGAATAATTGCACAATTGTGACAGCATTGAATTTTAAAATGATTATATAAATAATTGACTTAGTCTCATGTAGTTTAGATAACCTTTAACTTTTTTTTTTTTTTTTAGATAATATAAGCTAACTTTTACACCATATTATTTTATATGATTTGCAGAGGATAATGTTAAAGTCAATAAACATAATTTTTGTTGAAAATGTCTGATATTAAAGTTTTAAAAGTTGTGAATTCATCTCAAGCAATTTTAAGGCCCTATAGTACATACTGGTAAATTTATTATTAGTTTTTAAAACTAGTTAAATATATTAATCATTAGCATTTTTCAGATTTTTTGCATCTATTGATAAATGAAAAAACATTTTTGGTTATATTTAGTAAATGATGAATTGTTTAATAGAGCGAGAAAATTTTTGTTGATTTATAGAACTAGAAGTCTTCACTAAGAATCAAAAACTATTAGTTACTGACATATATGTCATAGTAGATATAGTAGTGTAATATATAGTATACCACATAATGGTTCTGTTAGTCTGTTAGTAGTAAAATAAGATCTTAGAATATAAAGTACTATTCAAAAAATGTTAATTCTACTGATTTTTTAAATTTAGAGACTATTCTACAGAAATAATTCCTATTATTTATGTATTGGAATAAAAATAGATAAAAAAATCCTTAAATTGGCATATTCATTATTCAAACCTTTAAGTAAAAATTTTTTATCTAAATTTCTTGATTTGTTGGTTTGATAGACTTGTTAATGTGTCTATTACTTTACCATGGTGTATATTTTACATTAAAAAAATGAATATCTCCTTTCTCTTGAAAAAAAAATTCTTCTCTACATATTAATTTAAGTTCAAAGGGAATCCTTAATTGTGGTCTAAATGGACACACACTATAAATATTAATAGAAACTGATATTAACTTAGAACTTATAAATAAGCATTAAGCAAACATTAATATTATTGAATTCAAATTATTAAATTAACTTAAAAATAATATGTAATATTTTATTAGTCATGCTGTTGTGGGACCTGATAATTTGGTACATGTAACAGGGTTATTGCCCATTGATAAAACTTCAACTGTTCCGAAAATTATTCAAGGTGGTCTAGAAGAACAATTCGATCAAGTTATGATGTATTTAAAAGCTATTTTAGAAACTGCAGGTTCTTCTCTAGATAATAGTTAGTACATTGTTACAATATATACATTATTTTTATAAATTTCAAAAGTAATTTTAAAACATGAAAAATATTTAAGAAATTATAATTTTATTATTATATAAAAATATTAATTTCACAGTTGTTAAGACTAGATTGAATTTAAAGAACTTAAATGATAGTAAACTTCTGAACGAATATTATAAAAAATGTAAGTGTTAAAAAAAATTACAAATATTTTCAATACACGTAGAACAAATTTATAATTAAACAAATATTTTAAAAATATGTAAATACTATTTTTTCAGATTTTAATGCTCCATATCCTGCTAGATTTTATATACAATGTAATGAAATAGCTGTAGTAAGTAAGAATAATACTTTATAAAAAATTATTAAAATATTATGCTCATAGAAATTCATATATAAAGTGTTCAATCCATTAATGGTCAATATTGAGTACATGCAACATTAACTTCAATAATTTTAATGAACATATAAAATATGTAAGGGGTTTTAAGTGATATTTTAATAAAAACTGTGTTAGGTGTACATTTGAACTTAAAATTAATAGTTCTACCAAGTAATAAAAATATTATTAAATAAAGAAAACTCATACAAATGAATTAAAAAACAAAATTAAAATAATACCTTCTAATATAAAATAGACTCCAATGCAGTTTTAGTGTCATATATTTATTTAGTTTAAGTTATTCATAATTTGAAATTAATGTTTATACCTAATGAAAGAAATTTTATACGATAATAAAAAAATACAAGGTGTTTAAAAAGTATGGAAACAGGTCATTTGTTACAAATAATGAAAACAATAGAAACCCTATAAAATAATTAACTTAAAGGAAACTAGGAAAAATTTCAGTTTATTAAATGTACAATAAGAATCTATACTTTATAAATATTATTTTTTTTTATTCTTTTAAACTAATAATTTTATTACAGGGTAGTCTTCTACAGTTGGAAGCAGTTGCAGTAGTTGGAACAATAAAAAAATCAATAATAGAGACAGATGTAAACTAATATTTATCAAAATTTAACATAAATGAAAACAAAAATATAATGGTAATTACTTGAAGTCATAACAAAATTCATAGTTAGGTGGATCATCAGGTACAGGTGGAGGATCTTGAGGAATGTCTACACCAACACCTTCTGCATCTAATAATCTCAACTTTATTTCCATTGATAGTAATGTTTCTAAGTCATTTTCAGCTTCTTTACTAGTCATCTTATTACCTATAAAATATCAAAATAATGAATCATATAATTCAAGTAACTCTTGTTTTGATTTTAGTATATCACTGCTTAATTATCATCATTGCTAAAAAAATAAATAGCTTAAATAAAATTATGTCTAAAAATTGTTATTAAAATTCTATTTCCTAAAATTTTAAAAAATTAACTGAAGTCCTATAATAATAATCAAAAAATAACTGTGAATCAATGTGACGCCAAGGTTGTTAAAAAAATAATTTAAATCCTAATAACAAAAGTTTTAAATAATGTTAATATCAAAAAAAAAAAAAAAAGTCAGCTATTGAAATTATTTTAAATTATTATTTTAATTAAATTAAATAACTTTAAACTAATAACTATTACAATTTTAAAAACATGTTAGGTTTTTTAGTCTGTATGTACAGGAGCATATTTTAGGGAAAGCAATAGCACTTATTGCCCTAACAATATCCTTAACTGGTGCTATAGGAATTTTATAGTGCTGACTGTTTCAAAAAATTGATCAGAATCATGTATATCATAGTAAATATATTGTAATATATCTCTTCAAGAGGACTTTTAAATGACTACAAGTAAAATTATTAGTTATTTTTAATTTCACCAATAAAATTTTTTAGCATTAGACTTTGACTAAATACTTTTTAACTAAGGCAAAAATGATAAAATAACAATACAATACCTAGTAGGGCATTAATACCATCAATCCAATAATCATACACCATTTCATCTGGAGCCACAAAATCAAGAGATGCCATTTCTACAGAATCTAAAGTTAATGAAAATGCTAGTTGATGTGTAGACTTTCGACTTCTGTTTAAAGATATAAAAATATTTAAATCAACTAATATAATTTATTATATAATTTACATACTTAGCATCCTTCATCATATGAGGGCAATCTTTTCCTGTAAGTAGGACTTTGATATCAACAATACTCAATTTATTAGGGAGTTCTTCTATTGATGGAACACTTTTATCATCACAATCACCATAATGTAAGACTTTATGATTTTGTGATAACCGTACAAACCAAAATTTATCTTTAACTCTCTGAAAAAATAGTAATGTTACATAAATAGTTAAATTTATAAGATTTTCTTTATTCTTGAAAAAAAAAATTAACTATTTATAATTCAATTATAAAAAAACTTTTTAATAATCAAAATGAACATATAATTTAAAATAACTACTTTCTTAAAATAATGTAGAATTCTATATTTGAATTTTTCAATTTATTAGCTTCGATGCGAAGCTGAGAAGGTATTGGTTTTACTATAATGTGTTTTTTACTACTTTTTCTCAGGTCTCACCGAACGGATTTCTTTCAACGATAAGTCAAAAGATCACAAATCGTATCTAGTTGAAGACATTACTCTCAAAAATTGAAAAAAATTCCCTCGTTCCCCGTAAATAGGGGAAACCTCCAAAAAAATTACAAATTTAAAAATCGCTAATTTTCGAAATTTTTTCAATTTTTTTTACTTAAAATTGCCATAACTTTTTTAAAAATAACCGAATCAATATAATTCTTTTTTTATATAGATGCATGATATCATTACCTTTCATTTGGTATATATTTTTTTTATATCTGACCCTTTACCTGCCCACAGGGGGGGATTTAAAATGACAACTTTTTCACAAAAAATTAACTTTTTCAACTTGACTTTTGAAAATGTTCCAGAAAGTCTGACACTTTTATATATATCTTAAATTACGTCACCACTGTGCCGCGACCCCCCTGCGCTGGGTTTTTTATTTTATTTTTAAAGTATTGAATTGAAGTATATTAAAACTTAGTAATTTAAAATTTATAAAAAAAAATAATTAAAAATTGTACTTAAGTACTATTTATAGTTAAAATAGAATATATGTGAGTTTTTTCTCAAGTTGATTAATAAAATTTACTCGTATCTCTAATATTTTTACTTGAAATTTATTTATACTTAAAACATAAATATGACACATATAGTATGTTTTCGGTAAATTAAACTATGCAGACTTAGAGTATTATTTCATTATAATTTTTTTAAATATTAAATTTAATAATATTTTTTGATAATTAACAAACATTAATACAACCTGTCCTCGTTGTGAATATTTAGTAAATCTAGTTCCATCCACCATATAATTAAGTCTTTGTTTTTTTATAAGATTTACTATTTCAGGAGTAACTAATTCTTTCAACTGAACTATAGGGCGAGCATGGCTTTCCCATTGTTCTCTTGAAGTACGTTCTTGTTGCCAGAGATTAGTAATTTCAGAATAAGTTAAAGTAGATAATTTTTGTCTTAATTTTTCTAAATTGGCAGGTTGTGAAGATAAAGCTCTAGTGATTTGTTCACGGACAACACTAAGTACCTGTAAATTGAATTTTTTTAAATTAAAACTGCTTAAAATTTAAAGTATCATCTTACTTTTACAAAATCTTCAGTTGTTGCTCTCATTTCTTTCCATGTTTTATTGAGTAATATAATACAAACACAATATAATTCATGAAAAGGATGATCATGACTAAAGAATATTGGATGATATGTTGTAGTTTGTTCACTAGGTAGTTCACCTATTTGTAATACATTGCATAATAAACGAACTAATTCTACAGATGATCGTCCAAATGGACATTCGTGTTCATCAGCCCTACATGAATTTTCAAGAACTACCTAAACAAAATATAAAGTCATTGTTGTCTTTTCAAATTTTAAATACTATGTAATGGATGTAATAAGAGTAAGAACTTACTTTTGTATAAGCATCTACATGATTTCTAGCAAAATAAACCATGCAATCTAAGGCTAACATGCCAGGTGGAGTTTCTGTGAAATCTAATGCTGGATTTATATCATATTTAAATCCTAATTTTTTATAATCTTTAGTAATTGGTCCTAATTGTCTTCGATTTGAATCTCCTCCTCCAATTGTATCAAGCTCAAAAGCAATTTTACGTAGTTCCTAAAATAAGAAAAAAATAAAATTGTATACTCTTAAACTTATTAAAATAAAATATTAGTCACAAAATTAAATTATTACCTTTATTTTTTCGTGAGCATCTTGATCCTGTGGATCCATTTTACAGTTCATTCTTTCTTCAAGGAGACCAAAGCATAATGTTTGCATAACATAAAGTTGATAAGCCATTTCAGATCCAACTTCACCAGATGATGTTTGTATAATATTTTGTAAAATGACATTTCTAACTTGTTTTGAGCATAATGTGCCAGCAATAATTTTTCGTTTGGCAGAATCAGCTTTTAAAAATAAAGCATTTATTAATGAGAGCGCATTTTGTTGAATTATTGAATTTTGATTTTCAAGACGTAATACAAGATTGGGAAATCCTACTTCTTTTTCAACTTGACCATACTTAGCCGAGCTATTAAGAACAATACTTTCCAAAATAGATAATGAAGATTGAACCACTTTGGCTTCTTGAGGTCTAGATGTTTGGTTATTTATATAACTAGCAACAATATTAATAAATGGCGTCTCTAAGATATCCCAAGAAACAATTCCATGGTCCATTAGTTCAACAAAAGAAGCCAGTGCATATGCTAGCATTGATCCTTGACATTTACCTTATAAAATTGAAAAATATTTAAAAATCAAAAGTACTTAGCTTATTAAATAATTAATTATAACGATTAGTAAACATTATATAATATTAAATATATGATTTGAAATTTACATTAACACTTATAACAAAAAAAAAAAAAAAATGAAAAATTTCTACTTGAACAATATTATTTTTTTACCTAAATGTACATCAATGTTACTACAAAATATTAGACTCAGTTCTTTTAGTTAACAAAATAAAAGTTTCTTTGTAATAGATATTGAGTCATTAAATAAATGTTTATAAAAAAAAATCTAGTATTTTATAAGAATATTTCTTTAAATTTCTTAACAACCTAAGGCATGATTTTAACTTTGAATTATAAAAAAAAATAAAATGTAACTAATTAAACCAAAATAATGGGTTCATTCTAAATAACTTATTCCATTACATATTATTATACAAAAATATACTAAAAATGTAACAAGCTTGCTAAAATAACTAGATAAGTCTACTTTTTTACGGAGTAGAAACAGACAGAAACTATTTTATGTAGATGTACAGCTAACAGTTATGTCTAATTATTTTCAATAAGGTTAGAGCAAAAAAATTTTTTTTTTTCACAAAAGATTTCAAAAGTGTACTTCTTTGGTAATTGCAACAAGACTATTATTTTGTATTCATTTATTTACTCAGAAAACTTACTTCTTTCAATTAAACTTATGATGAGGGCCAATCCTTGTTTGTTGATAAATTCTAAAGCAAAAGTTATATCAGTGCTAGATTCAGCTAATTTTTGCAATGCAATAGTTTTTTCATTTCTATCTTCATTGCCTTCAAGGTGAAGTGTTTGCAATATATCAGAAGCAATTTTAGAAGGAGAAAATGCAAGTCTTAAAACTGAACCATTTTTAATTTCATTTCTATTTTTTTCAGTGACATAATTTTGATTAGTTTTTTCAGAAAACTTAAGGGCATATTGCTCAGGTTCAACAAGATCCCAACCACTACATAAGTCCTGAATGATATTAGAAAGAGGAATTTTTTGATTGAATTCTTTAAGCTGAGGATTTTCTGAATCCATTTCTACAGCTATTTTAACAACATTCGCGTCTAAGGAAGGCATATTTTCTGATTTTTTATATACACAAAATGTCAAAAACTAATTCAATCTAAAAAAAATACTTTTTAAATTATTCTATAAAAAAATTTAATTTAATTAAAAAACATTGTAATTCAAACCAAGTTTATATATAATGATACGACTTACACTTTATATTATTAGTAACATGATTTTATTACTTAGAAATTAAAACTATTGAATACTATTCTTTACATTTGTGAATTAATATAAGTTATTTCACGAATTATTTATACTAGTAAGATCAATAAGATATCTTTTATTTCCTTTTTTCAATTATTATTTAATCAATTGGTACCTTTATCACAGAATAGATTAAAATAGTTTAATCTATTCTGTGCCTTTATGTTATGAACTGATAACAATACTTAAATTATTTTGATAATTTTGACTATAAAAATACAGATTATATGAATGTAAAATTAAATTAAATTTGTGATAAACACTAAAGATCATTTATTGTGTATAAAAAATATGTATGAAGTTTATGAAACTGTAACCTTTATTACCATAAGTCGATGCTATAAACATTCAATTGTGCTAAAATTATTGGTTCTTAATAGAACAAGTCTCGCAAATTTCAATATTTTAATTAAATAGACTATTCATTGTAATTAATAATGTTATTGTTGTAATTTAATTTGAGGTATGTGTATATTCATCGCATTGACTTGAAATAATGACATTATCCAATATTTATATGAAAAAAAAAGTTTTGTTATCGAGGCTTTTAAAAAATAGTTTCTGGTACAATTTAAAAGCAGCTGCTATAGGATTAAAAATTATTTTATAGATATGTCAAAGAAATATACAATGCGAATTGTGTTATGAACAAATAATCAATCTGAACTAAAAGAATAACTAATAAACTTAGCTGAGTTACTTGTTGAAAGTATAAACTTAATTGTAAGAATTTTTAATAAATTATTAAAATAAATTACTAAGCAAATTTTTTTATTGTAAAATAATAATTATATAATTATGACATTTTTTCTCAATTTTAGTAAGAAAAATTTTAAATAAATTTTTAATACTGTATTGAATTATATAAATTTAATTTCATAATTTATTTTAACATAAATAACTAAGTAATATTTTTCTTTCAACAAAATGTGTAAAAATATTAAGTATTCAGAGTTTTTTTTCTTTTAAAAATATATATTACAAAATAGATTAAAATTAAAAAGAAAAATGATAAAATATATATGTTGAAAGTAAAAATGAAATTTAGTGTAGTCCATTATTCTACTATTAAATAGAACATTTATCATTAGTGCTGATGTGGTATTGCAAAATAGCTGGCTGCTATATGAATTGCTTTTTCTGAAATCAAACGCAAATGTCTGTGGCGATTGTTGTTTTATTTGTTGCATCGTATTATATGTTATATTTATTATTTCATACTTTTACAAAATTAAATTGTTGTAATACTTTTGTTTAGACAATACTACTTTTTAACTCATTCCTTTCAACAAAATATGTTTTAAATTAGTAAATAAATTTTACTATTATTAATATCAAAAATCAATACCATACTTATAGTTCTTGTAAATTAATAAACCAATGTTTTTTTTTTTAATAGATGAATATTTCAAAAGAGAGACCAGTATAAATTTTGTAGGAACTATGTCTTTTAAATTCTCAACTAGTCCAATGTTCAAAAAAATAATTTTCATGTTGCCTGTAAGACCTTCAAAAAATGTTTTGATGTCAGTTATTTCCAGCAAATTTCATTTGTTTTCAAAGAATTACATGAATGATTCATTCAAAAATTGCTATGATATTATTATTGCTGGAGGTGGTATGGTTGGTTGTGCAATGGCATGCAAGTTAGGTAATAAAATATATATAAATTATTGAATCCCTTGTCCAAATTTACAGCAATACAAAAAACTTTTTAATATATGAAGAGTGAATGTGTCAAACGTTCTATGAGCCAAAAAAATTTTTGTTCAGATAACACAAAAAACAATGGTATAATGGGCATGTCTCACAGAACGAACACCATCTATGAACGCAATTTTGTACAAGTAAAAAATTTAATTGACATTTGAAACACATACAAGATTGTGGCCCTTGGCACATAGAACATAAATCAGAAATAAAACAATTTTTTACTTTTTTGGCACGTAAAACGTTTGACACATTCACTCTTCATATATTTTGGCCCTAGGTCATTGCTAATTAAATAACAAAAATTACAAATAAAAAAATCGCCAATTTTTACATATTTTCAATTTTTTTTTAATGAAAACTGCCATAACTTTTTTAAAAATTATATAATAAATTTTTTTTTATAGATGAAGTATTTATGTATCGTTTAATATATTTTTTTATAAATCTAACACTTTACCTGCCACAGAGGGGGATTCAAAATAACAACTTTTTTTACAAATAATTAACTTTTTCAACTTCACTTTTGAAAGTGTTCCGGAAATACTGACAATTTTATATATATCTTAAATTAAAGCTAATGTAATATACTTTATAATGGAAAAAAAAAATGTTGGACCTTATTTTGTCTTCACAGTGATTTAAATTTGCATAAAAATGGGTTCAAAAAGTAAATTTTGGTCTCTGATGAAAATTCCTTGTAGACCTGTACATTTATTTATAAATAACATACAATTTTTTTTTTTAAGTAATGACTACTTTATAATTTTTTATAATTTCTAATTTTTATAAAAATTACAATAGTAAATTATTAAATATCAATTTCATACTATATTTAATAGCTATAATAAGTATTTATAGATATATTACACTTATAAATCATAAAACTTGTAATCAGGATATAAATAAGGAAATAGGATATCATGTTGCTTTTGGAATAATCCACCAATTTTTTAAAATTAAACATTATCTACAGATTTGCATCAAAGCATTTTTTATAATAGTGATTTTAAACACTGTCAGATTAAATCTATACTGGACCCAATTATGCCACGTCCCAACTGTGCTAGGATTTTTATATTTAGGTTTGGTTAAAATGGTAAGTTTCAAATTTGTTTACATTTTTGTTAAAACAATTGTTAATTTTTTTCTCCCATTTACTAATATTTAGACTAAGGGAAAAATATTTTTATTTATTTAAAAATGTAATAAATTAATATTTAAATTTTCATCTATAATTGAGAAGAGGCGCCGATGTGAGAAAGGTACTAACTCACAAAAACTAAATTTTACATGAGAAGAAAAATACAGAATTTGAAAATATTTGAACCACATAGATTTTAGATAAATTTTTTTTGGTTTTAACAAAGTTTTAATTCTATACATTAATATGATTTATTTTTTTACCAGATTACTAGGTAATGTATTAACTGATTTTTAGAAAAAAACATTTTTTGTTTTTTTAGACTAGATACTTTTTTTACATCATTTGTTCAATTATTGTTAAAAAACTAATAATATAGTATAATTGCCTACCTTTGGTAATTGCTGCAATTTTAAGATAGGCAATTAGTATATATTATACTTTCCTCATGTCCAATCATTTATTTTAATTAATAAAATTAATTTTTAATTTAGAAAATGGTATTAAAAGAAAAAATAATTATTTTTAATTATGTTAATTTTTTTTAGCAAATGAACCAGCATTGAAAGGCTTTTCTATCCTTCTTCTAGAAGGCGGACCGTTTAAAGAGTATAAAATAAATACTGAGGAAAATAGAGTTTACAGTAATCGTGTGTCAGCTCTGAGTGAATCCAGCGTTAAACTATTAAAATCAGTTGGAGCTTGGCAATTTATTGAAAGCGTAAATGGTTTTCATGAAGTTAAAGAAATGAAAGTGTGTTACTTAAATTTAGGTTAATTTTATTTTGTAGATAAAGTGACTTATCATAATTTTTAGATATGGAGTTCTGGAAAACAAAAAAAGGATATTAACAATGTTTTACATTTTAAAAATGAGAAAAATTTAGCATATATTGTTGAAAATAATTTTATTCTTGGAGCACTTTACAGAAAAATTAATGAAGAACCAAATATTACAGTCAAATATAATTCTATAGCTAATAAGTGTGTTTTGACAAAACAAGGAGAGTGTGTAACAGTTAAAATTGCTGATGATAATCAATTATATGAAACTAGTTTATTGGTAATTATTAATTAAAATAATTTTAATTTTTAGCAAATATTGAAGTCAGAAATGCAGGGTTTAATAAACTCTTATGAATTGTGTAACTTTATTAGATTTTTTTTTTTTATTATTATTGCTTTTATTAGTACATTAAGGGCCATAGCAACCTTCCCCTAGAAGGAGGTTTTCTTAACCATTTATACTCTGGGACGGGGGTGGTTAGTCCATCGCCAGAGAGTTGGATGGTGACTTCAGTTACCAAAATGATCTCTCTTATGGCAAATAAAGCCGCTCGTGACTGAGTTTTGAACCTAAGGCAGTGTGCATTAAGCACTGCTGCGTTATTGACTCAACCACACCATACCACTTTATTAGATTAACTTTTTAAAAAGATTTTTTCTTGTAGTGTTATAATTATTTTAAGGATTGTTTGACACTGATACATTATAAAATAATGTATCCTATTAACATATTTTTAGCAAGCTTTAATTAATTTCACAAAATTGACTATTTTTTTGTACCTATTATATACTATTAAGAAATTATTAATTATTTTGTTCTTCATTGGTGTTTAATAAATAAAAATAAATAGATAAATGGATGGTGAGTTACAGTGGAATTAGTTCCTGAAAAGTTCTTTGAGTTTATGAAAAAAAAAATTAAAGTGTAAAGTTAAAAAATTTACACTTATATGATTAAATACTCAAAGAAGTATTTTGGTAATTATTTTCAGACATAAATTAACTTAATTAAATGTATGCAATTTAAACTTGTTCAAAAATATAGATTGGATCTGATGGTTTTGGATCAAAAGTTCGTAAAGCAATAAGTGGGCAACATTACTTAAGTTGGGACTATGGCCAACGTGCAGTGGTAGCAACTGTTCAAATTAAAAATACACAAGTAAGTCAATATTAATTATATATATATATGAATATAGACCTTTTTTAATGACATGTACTATTATTAATATGCAGCAATCAAATGCAAATGTAGCATGGCAAAAATTTGTTCTTCAAGGTCCTGTTGCATTATTACCTGTGAGTTAATAATATTATCTTTATATGATTTTTACATGTGGTCTATATAGATTTTAGAAAGTAAGGAAATGGGTTAAATGTTACAAACAATAGAAATCTTTTTCCGTATTTATTGAACACCTTTATATATTTATTAGATTAATTATCAGTTAGTTTGAATTTGGTAAAAATAATAGTGAATGCTTAATAGTTTTAAAATTGAAATGATTTACATACCTATATAAGGTTATCACTGCAATGCAACTAACTTGATTACACTATACCATTTCTCTCATAATTCCTGTTTTTTTAATAATAATTGTGATATTATGTAGCTTAATAATGAAACTTATTCACTTGTTTGGACTACTAGTATTGAGGAAGCAGAACATTTAGTGCAATCTAGTGATGATGAGTTTATATCGGCATTAAATACAATTTTATCGGTAAAACATTTACATAGTTTGACTAAGTTTTATATCATAATTTAACATGTATATGATACATTTTTAAGGAAGAAGAATTAAATAATTATAATTCTGTTATTGTCGATGATTTGAACAAGATAATGTCTAAGCTTATGAATAAATTTTTACTCACAAATGATGAATGCCAAAATAATAATTTTTCTATACCTCTAATATTGGGAGTTGCAAAAAATAGTAGAGCATCATTTCCTCTTGGTTTTGGTCATGCATGTCGTTATGTTGGCCAGCGCATTGCTATAATTGGGTGGGTAATAATTTATAATAGTTATGTTTATTTTTAAATTCATTCCAAACGTTTATAATTTTTATTTTTAGTGATGCAGCTCATAGAGTACATCCACTAGCTGGACAAGGTGTCAATTTAGGCTTTAATGATGTTAGTGAACTGAGCAATCAGCTGAACAAATCATTATTAGTAGGCGCTGAAATTGGTCTGATTCTTTAACAAAGCGTTTTGGAAAATTTTTGATGACGTAATTGTATTATAGGGGATGAAAACGCACTTTTGCAGTATGAAAGTAATGCTCAAGCACAAAATATCCCTATTATGATAGGAATTGATGGAATCCAAAAAATATATGGAAGTCATAACAGTTTAATACCAAATTCAATTTTAACTTTTGGTCGGAATTTGGGTCTAACATTTTGCCAATCTGCTTCCTTATTAAAAGTAAGTTAAAAAAAAAAAAAAAATTTTAAATTATAGATTAATAAGAATATCTTTTTTTTATAGAAGATTCTGACTCGCAAAGCTTCTGGATTGCCAACATAATTTATCAAAGTTTTCATTAATTATAATAATTCTGATAATATTAGTATTATAAATAGTTGATAATTCTAATACTAAATATATATTTCTTTAGTACAAAAATTTTTTTTATTTATTTATCTGGGTTTAAAAATGTTTGTATAAGTTTGTATGATAATCCTATGTTGCTTTGAACTAGAAGTGTATGAACTCCCAATTTCGATACACAACGAATATTTCGTACATCATCATCGTAGAAAACCATTTGATTGTAAGGTATACAACTTTTTAGATTTAACCTATAGAACACATCTTTCTTAAACACGTTTTCATAAATTTTAAGACAATGTTTTTATTTATTACTCTAGTTGGACAATCTTACCATTTAAAATGAACTGATTTATTGTATGGATATATTTCTATATAAGTAAAATAATGTGCAATATTAAAAAAGTTTAGCAGTAGGTAAGCTGTAGTAATATCTTCAATTCTAGATGCTACAGCTAAAATATAATTTTCTTTAGATAGTTTAAATAATGCATCAAGCACTTCTGGAAATAATGAATATTCATTACCGTAAACATCTTTCACTTTTTTCCTAAAAATTAGAGATATTTATATAAAGAACATTTAATTATTGTTTTTTTCATATTAATATCTTATTTAATTCTTTTGATTGAAATGTATTCAATATTTGAAGAAGTCATTAAATTAATAGTTAATTCTTACAAACAGTCAAGTTGAAATGGTTTCATACACTGATCTACATGAAATGGCCAAATGGTTAAATCTAAAACAATATAATACATGGCATTGCTGTATATGACATTTTATAGTCTCTCAAATTATATTCTAAAGTTTTATTTATTTATCAAATATTTAATTATAATTATATTGCAATAGAATAACTAAAATCTTCCTGCTTTTTTTTTTTTAATATACCTTAAAATATTAGAATTTTTAAAATAACGAAAGTTCCTAACTTCTTTTTCAAATAATTTCAATAACTAATGACATTAATTCTAGTCAAACTTATTTTTTCTCTTATCTCGGTTTACATTTTTGTGGTATAGTATATATAATTTAATAAATATAAAATACTAATTTAAAATCACTTTACAAGTGCATATACTGATAAAATCTAAGAATATAAATGTGTATTAAAATTTTACATGTATTATTTTATTAAAAAAACTCTTACCTAAATCAAATACAATCATTTTGGGTTTTACATTTTCCATTACTCGCAACAATAAAAATTTGTTAGTTTTAGTTTAAAATCTTAAATATTGAAATTACACTAAAAAATTCTTACAAAAAATAATCCCATACTTTGGTAAACATCAAAAAAGTATTAGTTGATTGAAATAGTAAAATATTTCAAATATATATACTGTTCTTTTTTATATAACGATTTTTTCACATTTCAATTTATAATTTTAAAAAAAAAAAACAATAATTAACTAAAAACAATTAATAACTCTTAATATAAAATTTGATTTCTTTTTAATTTTAATAATTAATAGGATGTATCAATAATCCAACTTATATCATCAGACGACGAAATATCAAAAATAATATCTTAACGTATTTAAAATTTGTGTTTTTCGTATTGCCTACGGTTGTAAATATAGGTGTGGACATTGGATTTATTATAGATAATTTCTTTTTAAAGGTGGTAAGTAAAGTGAATTTATAAACAAGGTTGATAAATCCACCTTGATAGTAAAATCACAGATAAGACAAATGTTTCATATCATCTGTGGTAAAATGTTTGTTATCTATCTATACTTAGTTTACAAAGTCGGAATACTATTTTGGTATTAACCACGATTAAAGATAGATAATGCCATATATTAAACATAGATATCTATGATATTTAACAATCATGGTTGACTAGTTATATTAAATTTACAAATAAAAATTGAACGTTTATAGAAATATATATATATATATCAATTTTACTCCACGGAGGATAGATCACATAAGTAAATTGAATTATATTTCATAAATAGCAGAATACGTTATTTCATAATAAATATATTTTTATCCGTAAAATATACTACTGAATTAAATTGGTTGTGTGATTAATTTTTTAAATTAAGTAAGTACTAAATTTCTTTAATATTTAAAGTTATTTATAAATATTACTTTTTGAGATCTCAAAAAAGTTCAGATGAAAACAGTTATGTACTAGTGTAATATTTAAGTATTTATACTAGGTAATCGCATAATATAAAATTCATTACTCAAAAAACTAGTTAAAACCATTTTTAATTAAATAAAAAAATTTAACAGTTATATTAAAAACATTTATTCACTGGTAGGTAAGAAAATATTAAATTTAATGTGTTTTACTTGGTTTGGATAAAACGAGTTATTTTTTATCTTCTAGAAAATTAAATTTATGTGTTAATAAACTGCTTGATTATCACATTATTTAGTAATGAGATTAATAATATCCTTTTTTAAACTTTTTTTTGTATTATATTTCAGGCGTTTTGAAGCTATTGAGAGGTTTTACTATGAGCTCTGGACTTGAAAGTTATGTGAATCGTATCCTTACACAAAATAATATTACTTTTATACTTTATTTCTTTAGGAGTAACTATATAGAAGTAACTTTTTATTTAAAATAATACAAATTTCCAATTAAACTTATTATTAAATTACCTTAATATTTATACCAAAAGCATCATTACATAGATAATTTTTCATGTTAATATTCAAAAGCAAATTTTTAAATGTATTTAAGCTTTTATGAGTTGTTTTATTATTATAATATTTACAGATATATCCAAGTCTTCTGTTTGATGTTGATGTTTCAAACTTGTTGCTGAATTCATTTTCAGATTTTTTTCTGTTGAATAATATAGTTATAACCTAAGCCTGTATCTATTACTCCAATCATAAACTAGGCAACAAGTTCAAATCGTTGCCATAAAATTGAAGACTTGTATATATCTAAAAATATTTTTTAGAAGAACAAACTTTTTATTAAAAATAATTTCTTACTACTAAAATTTTGAATGTAATAATTTAAATATCAAATGCCGCTCATATGCAAAGTCCTGACCTAATGCACTACATTATAAAGCTTATGTGTTACATGGTAATGTAATTAATAAATTATTTATGTCACTTATAAAAAATTCATGGATTGCCTAAGTTTTTATGTTGCATAGTCAAAATTTATATATCCCATAGTTATGGAAAGTTTTATGGAAGTAAAATCGGTTTTATATTATCAATAATTATCAGTATTATCTTTTACCGATACTACAGATTAGATGAAATTTTATCTAATCTGATAAAATCATCTGTTATTCTTAACATATTCTCTCATTTTGGTGCCTATCTGATGAGAAATCTTTTTAATATTCTGGATACAGTACATTAATGAATTCCTCTTAAATCACCACATATAGCCTTTAATAATATTACACTAAACCGTATTTTAAAATAATACAATTATTTATTTAATATTAAAATAAAAGTCTACCCAACCAAATCAAACCATTTTATAGTGGTAATTGTTGGATATTATTAGCTTCGTTTAAAACTGAGAGGGTATTATTTTTACTATGATGTTTTTATTTTTTTTTTCGTGTCTGTTACTATTTTTTCTCAGTTCTCACCAAATCAATTTCTTTCAACGATATGTCTAACGATCATTTATATATCTAATCAAAGACATTACCCTCAAAAATTTTTTTAATTTCTCTTGTTCCTTATAAATAAGAGAAATCTTTAAAAAAATTACAATTTTAAAAATTGGTAATTTTTGACATTTTTTAAACTTAAAACTGCTATAATATTTTGAAAAATGAATGATTAAAAACAAATTTTTTTTTTTTTATAGATACCATAGGTTTTGAAAATGTTCCAAAAATAGTGATACTTTTATATATATCTTAAATTAGATCTTATATAAATACTTTAATTTGAAAAAAAAAAATAGGACTTTTGGACTACTCTTCATGCTGCAAATGGCTACCGTATTCAAAATTATGCTTTTTTTTATTTTAAACTTTATATTCCTATAACTTTTTGAAAATATTAGTACAAGTATAAGTAATAGTTATCAATTCCAACAAATTGTCAAGTATAACTCTTTTTGGAAAACAATAATATTTAAAAAATTGTTTTTCACTATATAGTTTAAAGGGGTAATCACATTACGATGATACCTTCTTTGCATATTACTATGTAGATCATCTATTACTAATTCAATGTACTCCAAAAAGTTGTCAATAGTTGTAAATAAAATTAGATCACTAATACATAAAATATTATTGCATTGCAAAACACATGAAAGAAAATGTAACTTAAAATTGAAAACTAATTACAAATCTACCACATAACTATGTATCCCCCCTTAATAGCCTTCCCATAAAATTGACTGTGCAATTGAATATCATTACTAATCCCATAAGTTACCAATACATAATATATGTATATTTATACAAATATCCATAATTTATGGGTCCCATAAAATGACTATGCATACGACACTGTTTTTTAACTAAATATTTTTATAAACAAGTATTTGGGGCTATCTTAGAGCTAAAAATATAAAAGTGATGAAATAATTTTTTTTTTTAACCATGCCACATTTTTAAAAGTTTTTTTGGTAGTTATCTTTTATTTATTATTTATATATAAAAAAAACTATAGTTTAATTAGTTATTTCCAATCATTATAATAATATATTATCGGTTAGGATGTGTGACTTCCTACACATTCCCTTCTGGATGGTCAGTCAAACATGATAATAAAATTTAAATTGTGAACATTTTTCATAATTTTTTTTATTATCTTAATCTAGTACTTTCTGTAAAATAAAATATAATTCAATTTTTATATAAACAATAATAATTTTATGATGTTTTTCTTTATTATTTGATAGAAAATTAAAAATAATTTGAAAGAGATAATTTTTATTTTATTCATTTAATACTTTGGTCATAATTTTATTAAAATATTTTATATATTATTAAATTAATTATAGTTCTTATAATAATTAAACTGTAACATATTATTTATCATAAATAGAAAAATATAGTTTTTTAAGTATTTTTATGAAAATGTTAATTACAGATAAATATTATTTTACTATTCTAAAAAGTTATTGAGACATTTCAATGGTCGCATTAATAATATAATTATTAATATAACTTTTTCTCCTTACATTGTAATACTCAGACACTGTTTCTATTATCACATCAGATGGAAGAAACTTTGTGGTAATCCTTTTAAATATTTTAAATTATATCTAAGATTGTAATAAAACATTTTTTTTTAATTTTGTTTTAATAATAGTCATAAGGGGCTTGGTGTGGCTTAGTGAATCATTCAGTCATCGCCTAATATTCAGTTGTAATGTTGGCTGTTGGTTCCCAGATGAGTGACCATACGGGAACTTTAACAGTGACACACACCATGGTCCCTTACTTGTTCTCTAAGCCATAATAAGGCTGCATCAATTTGACAGCCATAAAAAATCCTGTTAAATTGTAAGATAGATGTAAATAGTTGGGATAGAGGCTAAGGAAATGATGATTTTAATGATAGTCATTTTTTTGCTATAGGATATAAGTCCAAAAATTGTTTTTCTAAATTTAGATTTTCCTATCTAGCTAATTTGTCATGAAAAAGTAAAATTATAAAAAAAAATTAAGATATTAAAATTTAAATATCCTATTTTAATTAGATGATTTAATTGATTTTAGCATAAAATAATGTAATTTTTTTTTTTATTATGAATATAACCCAGATGTTTCTACAATTTTTTTATTAAATTGTTTTCATTCATTTAAAATAATTTTTGTTATATAATATAGGGAACCCTCAAGGGATTTGATCAAACTATAAATATTATACTAGATGATAGCCATGAACGAGTATACAGTCCAAGTCAAGGTGTAGAACAAGTTATTTTAGGTCTTCATCTAATTCGTGGTGATAACGTGTAAGATTTTTTATCATCACCTTAGAATAGGAGTCTTCAACCTATTATCTCTGGCAAAATGTTCAGAGATAAATAATTTTATTACTTTACTTTAGCTATTATTTCAAATGTTTTATACCACATATTTAACATTAGATTTAACATTCATTAGTACATCCATCTGAGTCACCTCACGATCATTGTTGAAGAAAAAATAATACATTTATAGATTGTAAATATTTATATAGGTGTATTTTCCTTTTTTTTTTTTTTTGAACATCGGTAGTGATGTGGTTTGCAAAATGCAGTTTGTAGACCTCTTCTTTAGAACATATTAATATTGGACAACGTATGTTAGCTTGATTATTAAAAAAAAAATTATATTTTTTTCAGAGCTATTATAGGAGAAGTTGATGAAATGATGGATTCAACTATAGATTTAAGCACAATTAAAGCTGAACCTATTGGTTCAGTAGTATTTTAATATTTTTGTGTTAGATATTATTTTAATTATAGTTAATTCAATAAAAAAAATTGTATTTTTTTCTAGTTTTTCCTCAACATAATTAATTTTATTAACTGACATGTTATACTGTACAACACTTTTGGCCAATTGTAACAATATCAAACATTTTGATATTGATAAAGATTATTAAAGCAGTATCCTGGTAATTTGTCTAGTAGTCAACAAGTATGCCTTTTAAATTTTTGTAAATTTAAAAACTTAGTTATGATTACTTATTAAGTAATATGTACTTTATAACGTTTTATACGTAAAACATTTACAGTGTCACATAATGTTTGGTAACAATAGTATAATAAAAATTAAGTAACAATTATGTTTTAATTAATACGGAATAAAGTCCTATAAACTAGTTTAAAAAAAAATACATCTAATTACGTTAGTTTTTAAAAATGTTCATAAATAAACCTGACGCTAATAATTGTCATTATTGTGATCGTCAGTGTTTGTATTTTATAATGAATCTAGCAAACCATTGACTAAAGTTATTTATTTAAAGTATTTCAAAAAAGATGATCTATTTATTTATCACAGAGTAATTTTTTGAATTATTTATTATATTCTAATTGGTTCGAAAACGATAAAGGGTCGTGAATGAATTATTTTGTGAATCGATTTACACGATTCAATTCACCCAAAAGATTCATTATTCCTATCTCTAGATGTTACCGACAATTTAAAAAATTATCAGGACTGTAAAGTCGTTGTAATGATAATTTATATTCACAGATAAGATATAACCTCGATTATAGATAGAAGTAATCTATAATCGTTATCTTATCTAAAAATATATCTCATAGATTAAATACATATAGATAGACCACGCCGTACACAATTTTGGCAGTCCAATTTTTATCGTGAATGGACGCAGGGAAACGATGCGCTGGACGCAAACGATTATGCTAATAGATAGCGTAAATTTTGAGTGCTTCTATTGGTTAAAATATATGTGGTATTTTAATCTATGTATATCTTATCAATAACTTTTTTTTTATAAATCTTATCTATTATATTTTTTTATAATCTATGTTGACAATTGAATTCTATTACAATTTACATGTCACAATCTTTTTATCCTCGATGAATAGGAATTTTTAAGCATTATGTTGCTATTAATAAATTACTTTTAGATTTTTAATTGAAAAATAATTAGGCGACCGATTAAATAATTTTATGATTTTAATATGTATCGTTCTTTTTCTTAAATTATTTGTATCGATTAAATTTGAATAATATAGTTCAATGAAGTAAAATGATATAAACAATGCCATCATTTAGACAAAAATTTTCTGGTTTCTTTCGTCAGTTCTCTGCACCTTCAGAGTCGAGGAATGATGAAAATGCTTCTAATCGGTTTATAAAAAAGTATTTGAATGGGTAATTTTATCATTAATTTCAAATAATTAGTAATTTACCTAAAAGACCTAACTTTTGTGTTTTTTCAGAAATGAAATTAATAAACATGTTCCAGTTATATTACATGGTAGAACCCCTCAGGAAGTACCTCCACATGCATTAGGTCAGATAATTAACTATGAAGTAATTGCATCGTTAACTGGACCCAATGGAGGTCTTCAATCTGTTAATCAAACAGAAAAAAATTTATCTGTTAGTGACCCAGAAATTAATTTTATTGATAATATTGATGGAGAGTGTGATGGTAACATTTATTTTATTAATTATAATTTTGAAGTATTGTGATCTTTAAAATTAATATTTTATTCCTATTTAAGAATATAATGAAGAAAAAAAGAGGTCTTTATCAAATAATATAAATACTGATGAAAAAAATAATTCAGAAGTGAAACTAAATATACTAAGAAAGCTGAGTAAGTACAAAATTGTATATCTTTTTCCCGTTATATTATTTTTTTATCTAAAAATATTTTAAAATATACAAATTGTTTAACTATTATAATTTATTTTATTTTGCTTTATTTATTAGAAAGCCATTTAGTTGCTGGTGTGGAAAATTGGAATAATCCTACTTCAAATGCATATGGAGCCAGTTGTTCCTTGTATGAAGTGCATCCTATAACACATCGCCATACTGGAGATCCAATTGCCGATTGTTTTGCTATAGTAACAAGAGCAAATTCAGCTATCATGGTGTTAGCTGATGGTGTAAATTGGGGTGTAAAATCTAGAACAGCAGCAAGATCAGCAGTTCATGGTTGTGTAGATTATTTGAATAAAACATTGTATCCTAATACAAAACAATCGCCTAAGAGTACTACAGTGAGTAATATATATTTTTATAGTATTAGAGAGTAGATGTGTAAATAGTTTTATAATCCCTCTAAAATATCTTATATTTATCATGTTATTTTGATTGATTTTTACAAAATATAAAAATTACTTTTTGAATTGCTATATTTTATGCATTATGGTTAATATTTTAATGATCTATAAGTGTTGTTTTAAAGGTAATAAACATATTTTGTAATTTTTTCAAAAATATGTAATTTGAATTTTTTTTTTGACTGTGAAAAGTTATTTTTTACTTTGAATGACTAATTTGAAAAATAATTTTGGTATGAAATGTTTAGTATTTGTGTTATATAGATAATTTTATTGATTAATATGACTTTATCAACTGATATGTTTAAAGTATGATAGATCATAAGATACAATGTTTTGAGTTAACAATTATAAATACATCAACTGGCATTAATATATTTATAATAAATGATAAAACAAAAGTGCTGTATGTCTTTCAATAATTACATCATAAAAATGAAATAAGCTACCAATATTTGAAATCCCTTATATTATACATGTATGTCAACTCAAAAATTCAAAACTTGTATTATATCTATCAAACAGATGAAGTTAAATTAAAATTTTAAATACCATTTACTATTAAAAAAATCTCAAATATATTATTTAATTCAAAATATATGTTCTTATTTGAAATAACAAAGATACCACTCTTACAAGACATAATAGATGAGCTTAAAAAGCATTACATATCTAATAATTCAAGAACAACAAAAAAATTAACTAAAATAATAAAACTATTATTTTTAAAAATAATTGATTTATTTTTTTCTATTTAAATATTTATTTATAATATTTTACTCCATATAGTTTAGATTATTAGAGAATGTAAATGCTTATTAACCTTTTAATACATGTTTCTAAATGCATTGCATATTTTCATATTTATTTATATCTTTTTAGTGCATGAATTTCAAAACCTTGGGTAATTATAAATAACAATTTTAATATGTTAAAGAAAACAAATTTATTGCGTGAGTGATGTTACTTAATATATTTTTTTATAAAATTTTTCTATGTCAAATTTAAATTTTTAATATGACTGTTAAGTCTTGAAATTAAATTTAGGAAAAAGTTTTTTTGTTTTTTATTTATCAATAATATAATTATTCCAGGATTTATTTTAAATAGTTTTTGTATTACTTGTGAAATAATTATTATTTAATTCTATTAAATTGTGTATTTCCTTTCTTCCTAGACATTGTAAGTTTTAATTTTTTGAAGTTAAACACTATATTTTATTTATATTTTCATTTCAGGACGTTCTTCTAACATTACTCAGATCATTCCATGCAGCTCACAATATGATCTTACAAGAAGAAGGAACCTTAACAACACTTACAGCAGTTGTTGTGTTTCCTTCTGTAGTTGACAATCAATTCATTGCTTGTTGTTGTAATGTTGGTGATAGTTTAGGCTATGTTTATAGTCCAAAATATGGAGTTAGAGAGTTGACTCAAGGATCACATGACATTCATAGAATGAGAGATATGAGAGATGTTATGGGAGCTCTAGGCCCTGTTGATGGACATAATCCAGAATTGTCAAATTTAACCTTATCCATAACACAAATTGATCTAGGGGATATAGTTTTTATTACTTCTGATGGTGTTTCTGACAATTTAGACCCTGTTGTAGGACATTTTACAGGTATGTTGATATGACTATTTTTCTGATGTAAGAAGTTGTGAAGTCAGAGATTTTGCATAATGTAAACTAGGTTGAATCCAAAAATTTTAAATAGTTGGTTTACAGTAGAGAAATTTACCTCAAAAATTATATTTTTTTATACATTTTTAATTGGTTCTGGACTGATCCTTGTTTGTTGCACTGAAGTAATACCTAACAGCAGTCCCAGGGGAGTCAACAAAGAATCACTTGTGAAAAAAGAAAGGGTGAATTACATGTTAACATCATTTGATGTGGGTTCACTAAGAAAAATAAGATTATTTATTTAAAAGCTACTACTTTACACTTTTCCATATTTAGAAATGATAGTTTCAATTTACAGTGTCAATTTGAAAAGGGGTTATTAAATAAAATTAGTATGATTACATTGGCTTCAAAATTACAATAATTAATATTGATTTTGTTCAGGATTTACTTACATTTATGTATACAAAAATTACTTAAAAACACACTTAACTTATAAAATAAAACTAAAGATTTATTAAAAGAATATCTTTTGATTTAATGAAATACTATAGAGGAATTTTTAAGTAATTTTAAACAAAATGGCTGGGTAATTAAAATATATAAAAGATGTATAGCTCTTCTAAACACTTCTGTCTAATTTTTGGTTACTTGAAATTTTTTTAATAGTCTCTTATGAAATTTTATAAGATATTTAATTTGTATGTATTAAAAATCCATCACTTATCCAGTGTTAAGAATTTACTTTACTATAAATATATTATATACAATAGGGCTACCTAATGTGGAAGCTTATCAAAGACACAAACTATCACTTTTGAGAACTGAAGATTTAATTAGAAATGGAGTATCTGGTAAAGGACCTGCAGTTGATACCCCTAAAGAATTGGTTACCTTATTATTAGATTTTGTTACAAGACTTACTGCAGCTAAACGACGCATACTTGAAGATATAGAAATATATGCAGATGTAAATGGTAAACCATTAGCACAAGGAGAAGTTAGACAAAAAAGAAAAGATATTATTAAAAAGTCATTTGGTGTACCAGGTAAGTTAGATCATGCTACAGTCGTTGCATACAAAGTGACTTCAGAAGTATAGTCTACCATGTGAATTAAAATTTATTTATGTTTTATTAGTTTTAATGTTATTTTTATAATATTATTTATTAAAATGTCATTCGTTAGTCTATATATAGTATTTTTTAACTGTAACTAACACGTTTATATGACAAAGACAGTGCTAATTATACAATATATTGAAAAGAACCCAAATTTTTTGTGTATTGAAAAAATATACAAAGCTTGTTTTTTGTTGATTATATTATGACTTCTTTTTAACTCAAAGATTTTAATATAGTAAAAAATTTCTGATAGTAAATATTTTTTTAACAAACATAAAAAATGTTTAGTTTTTGTTTTCTTATAATTTAATACTTTTTATTTAAATATTTATTTTAAGAATTTTTTAATATCCAGTTTGTGTGCAACAATTTTGTTATTAGATTATGATAAATTGTAATGTTACTAATAATTATGTTATATGTATACTAAGAATATCATATATTCTATAAATGTTTTAATTTTTTTTTTTTTTTTACAGATTTTATATTAATTAAATTAATATATTAATTTGTTTTTCTTTATAACAAGAAACCTATCCAATTTCAGAAAAATCTTAATATTTGATTTTTTACAAGTAAATTACATTTTTTTTTTTATATATATTATGAGTTATTTGAATTTAAAACTTTATTATTAGTAGATTGTTTTAAAAAAACATTCTTATAGAAACTGAAATCCTAAACTAATATCTAGAATTTTGATTTAAATTAAATCTGAAATATTGTTTTACTTTTGAGTTTTAAATATTGAAAAATACTTCAAATTTTATTTTTGATTAAATATTGTTTTTTTATTATCAGAATTTAAAATCTTGATATTTCAATTCATTGAATAATTTATATTTTTAGTACTTGCATCAGTATAGTGTGTACTCATTAAAATTATTTTTCAGATTAAAAGTAATTAAATTAATTGAATTTAATGGATATACAATGTTATCATTTAAAATTAATTATGTTCTTTAAATTATAGTAAATTTTTACATTACTCTGTAATGCTTTTATTAAAATTAGTTAAATTATTGTATACTTAACTGTGTGCCATAGTTTTTAGCACTGATAATTAATTTAAGTTTAATTATGATAAATTTTTTTCTTTTTAATAATTTATTGTATTGAATAATTTAAACTAAATAGTTTATTAATATGATTATTCTATTTAATGCTTAGAAAAAATACTTATCTGCCAGAGTAAATCATATTTATGTAAAAAAACAAAAAGTATTTCTAAAATATTATATTTTACCTTGTAATTTTCAGTGCAATATATATTCCGTCCATTTATAATCTATATATTAATATGTCTACCATAAGTTTTAAATATATTCAACTATAAGTTATAGATGCTGTAAAATACTAATATCAATCCCTTTTTTTAACAAAAAACTAGAAATTAAGCTTTAAATATTGTTTATTTTTAATACTATATCAATTTCTTATTTCATTTGATCTATGAAATATGAATTAAGTTTTTTTATTTAACCAAGGGTTTGTCCAATTAATATCTAGTTTACCATTATTTTCATTATTAATGTAAAACAATAACTTTTTAATGACTTGTATATTTTATATTTTTTAAATCTTAGTCAATTATGCAAAAATTAAAATTATGTATAAAGTATTTAATATAATAATGCTCATTACAGTATATAAACAACTAGTTTTTGGCTTTTTGTCACTTCTCTCAGATTTCACTAAATCTACATTATTGAACTCCTGCTCTTTCTAGATTAGGTAATATACGTTTAATACAATTAATTAAAAAAATAAAATTAATTGAACGTCAAAAAGTTAGAACTGTGTAATAGATTAATAATTAATCATAATTATTTAGCTAACTTATCACAATTTTAACATGAGGTATTTAATATTACAAATTGTAAAACTCTATAAATGTTAATTTTTTACAGTGGTTCTGCTTTTTGATTCGTCAATTTTTTCATCACAGTTCACCTAACAAAACTGCTAAACAGTTTGTTTTTTCATGTGTCAGTATTGATGATATAAAAAACTTTAAATTACTCACGGTCGATAAGTATTATAGCGTATTATGTTGAAAAAGTAAAGGAAACATATTTCAGTAATTCTTATAAATAAGACCTTTATTTAATTTCGTACACAAATTAATTTACATTCACATTTCAAAGATATTCTCTCGCTAATTTATGATACTTTTATCACGAAATAAAATTTGGATTTACAAGTCACAGTATATATATATATAATTTTTATCATTTATATTATTAATCGATAGTAAATAATATACCTAAATAGTAATATACGTTAAACACCAAATGCTGATTTAAGCAATATTACTCATTAAATTGAATATTATAGGCCAATTACAATAGCAGTGACCTATGAGTTACATAACTCACACGAATAAGTACATATATTACTTATAGGTACTTTTTAAATATAATTTAAGATACACATTTTACTGCTTTTAGATATTAATATTAGAATCTTCAATATTATTTCGTTTAATAACGTTCCCAGAATTTCGTTCTGAGGGAAAATATACATTAGAATTTTTTTACTACCCACTCTAAATACATCTTTGCCTTATATTTATTTTTATGATGGGGAGTTCTATCCCTCATATTCTCTCCCCGTGAAAACGTACATGAAAATTCGTTTATAGAATGGTTTTAAATTAAATAATTGTTTTTACGTGTAAATAAACCAATTGTATTAAATTAATAATTACCAAACACATAATATATTAATAAATACAACCAATTATTATTTTTAGTTGTATCATTTTTACATAGACATGAAAAGGCATAGTTTATAACATGTAAGTATTATACACCCCTAATTAAGATTGCTCAAGTCGTAAAACAAAAACATTTTCCTACTTAGCTAGATATCAAATGCCAAAAATAATTTTATCCTACTATATACATTAGAATTATAGCGTATTATCATTAATCAATGATAATAGAGTACTAAAAAGCGATACACAACTATTTAATACAATTTATATGTAATCAAAGCTGGATAAGTTAGTTATTTTTTTCAAAAAGTTTAAGTTAAATTACGTTAAAATATAATTTAATTTCTAAAATTGTTCAAATTTCTAACTTGGTTATAAGTTAGTTTGTTTATAATAGTAATTGAAGTTAGAATAATAGTTAGAAGTTACTTTTTTTTTATAATTTAAAATTTAAATTCAAAAACTTGTTTGTTCAAATGTAAATAATCCGTTACCTTTAATTATCCTTTAAGTATCTACCTTTAATTATTGATGATTCAAAAATTAAATTAAACAACTGATAATTTTATAAAATGTTTTAAGTAGGTAAGTAATAATTTTCATTTCTTGGAATATCAGTTATTACTTTATTAGAACATAAAAATAAAAAGGTATAACAAATTAAAATTATATACTAATAGTATGACAGTATCACGTATATTTATTTATATAAATATACGCGATATAACAACATAAATAATAATGTATAATAGTTTATATTATTCATATAGTTATATTATATATGTATATAATAATATATTAATAATAGTATTAATATTTTAAAAACTTAAAAAAAGAAAAGAAAAACGCGTGTAAAGACGGCGATTTAATAGATCAATCAGTAGTCAGTTGTCATATGTGATTGTGAGTGCGTAGTTCTAGAATAATCGAATGTCTCAACGTTATTAACAATAAAGGTAAACAAGACTTGTTTTACTTAGTAAACCTCGATAAAATTACCACACAATTCGGCATCATATAAAAATCAAGAATGCATTAAGTGACGCAAAAAAACATTACTTAAATAAAATTGTCCATCCATCATTACTGACGGGGCCGTAACAAATTAGGGATTCATGCTTTTAAAAAGCAATTCCCCTACTAAAATGAACAATTCACTATAATTTAATTAGTTAAAGAATAAAAATAATTTTTTTTCTATTTAAAAAATAAAATCTCAAGCTAACACAACTAGTGCATCCTCTTCTAAAAAAATTTTCTATATCAGCGCCTAAGGTTCCATACCTCTTCATTTGTGATTGCATTTAAATAAACTTGCATCAAGTTATTGACTGTAGTTGGGAATGGATTGTAAAACAATGACATCTCACTTGTATTGAAATTCAATGTGACCTGTTGCGCTTTCATCATTAATCATAATCTAATTAATATTCGGCAATACTTTTTATGCGGAATAACCATTAATTAATTTTGAACGTGTTTTCAAAACTTGAAAATATTTCATTTTGCGCCTAGGTCAATGCTTAAAATTTTTTTGGAACAACATTTATATATGTATCCCCACATAAGAAATCTTGATTTATAATAATTTCATGAATAAATCGTATTTTTTCAGTAAATTGTGTAAGTATTTTCCCAGGATTTATTTATAAAAAAAAAAAAAAAAGGAAGAAAGTTCGATTATTCTTACTCTTATAGTTAATTATAATTTCATTTATGGAATTAAAATTGTAATTTATTTAAGCTGACTTTTATTTAACTTGTAACTTAGTACGTTACTTTTTACTTTTTTCTACATAGAAACTTTCGTGTTAATTTATTTTATAAACTAAAAATAACAAGAAAAGAAATACCATATGCAACTATTTATGTATACATCGCTCTTCTATATAAGAGTTTGACCTCTCATCCCCATCCTTAACAATACCTCTAGTATATTTTCTTTTAACAGGACTGCTGAACTAATGTTAATGTATGAAAGTTAATATTAAAATAAACTTAAAGGCATTTTAAAAATGGATTATTATTTTGAAATATCCATTTTAATAGTTATATATTGTCTTATAGTTGAAATATAGATTGTAGTTTATTATTGAGCTTAAATTGTTTTTAAGTTAAATACCATATAAAATGTTACACTTTTAATATTAATTCTCTTACAAATTTAATTAGTTATTTTCTTAAGATTAGTCGTTTCTTTGTCCTTGGTATTATATCTAAATATGTCATAAATTTAACTTGGTTAGTTTAATTTAAGAATTCGTACATTGTACTATTAGGGAAAACACATTTATTATATAATAAAGTATGATAACACATAATGTTTGATATTTATTTTCTAACTAAAGAATGAACGTTGAAGCGCAAATCGAATATAA